GAGAGAGAGAGAGAGAGAGAGAGAGAGAGAGAGAGAGAGAGAGAGAGAACACTTTGAAACCTCAAAACCTGCCTCGTCCCTGCCATAACATCTTCTAGTAAGCCCACACCTTTTCAGCCTTTCCAAATGGCTCTATCAAATGGTGACCAAGTGTTTCAAATGCCAGAGTCCATGGGTATCATGAAGAATTAATTCCCTCAGGCAAGGGTTGTGAGGGTAATACTGCAGGAAATAAGGGTGAAAATGCATCCTGCTAGGTGGGGAAAACTATGTCCTCAGGTGAGACAAACCCTTCAGAATTTGGAAGTTCAAAGTCCTCATCTTCATTAGGGTTCTCCCACACATCTCTACCCCAAGTCAAAGGGTCCCATTCCTTACCAATCTGTGTCCTTACTTTAACAGAGGCTGGGGCTTAAACTTTCACTGTAGGTTAGCCAGCATTATAATGAGGGGCTAGGTCTGATTTTCCACAACTTGAGCTCTGTAGCTGCTGGAGAGAAGAGTCTCTTCCAGGACACACTTACAAACCTGTACACTATTTAGGCACATCTGGAGCCAATTAATTTTTTACTGAATTTGTGCTTTTCCCTTGTCAGTATAGGGCTTCTAGGAGCATCCAACATTGTTATCTTCCTTATTTATCCACAAATGGTCAAAAGTTTTATATACAGTCACAAAATTTCTTCTTCCCCCACAGTTAGCCATTTAAATATTTTTAACCACAGGCTTTCAGACCACGAGCATGGATGTCTCAGCAGGTCCAATCTGATGCTGGGGTCCTCGAGGAGTCTTAAAGAGCTGCTAGTCTTCAGTCTACATTGGAATCCCAAAGATACTAGATCAAATACAGGCAGCAACAGAATAGACAGACTAGCTGGCAAGAGGGAGTGCAAGCGGGCAAAAGGCAAAGTTTCCTAGTGTCCAGAAGGTGTGGTCAGATTTAGGGTAGATCTTCCTGTTTTAATAGTATGATTAAGGAAATCCCTCACAGGGATGCCTGGCAGCATGGGTTTTAGTTGATTACAAACACAGTCAGGTTGACAAACATCACATGATACCAAATCCTCCAGTATAGCACAAACCTTCTGAACTGTGATGAGGCCACAATCACACAGCCACTGTCTAGTTCCTAGGACTTCTGGGCATCAGACACACTCATAACTCTTGTGACTCTTGGCTACAACCACAGCTCTGTATAGTAGGGGAGGGATTATCTATACCATATGCATATGACCACAGCTCCTGGATGCATTTGTCAGGATCCAGGGTGACTTGAAAACTCAATATGAACTAGACTTTGGGTCTCTTAAAATTATCTCATCAGTTGCATACCTTAAATCCAGATTCCATAAAGACCCCTGCCTGTCACCAGCATCCCAGAAAGAAAGCTACATTTCACTAGATGGTTGGGTCCTCCCACAAAGCCTCTATTTCTGGAAATGACACTGAACAAGGGAATGGAGACTGCTTGGTGCTACAGGAAGCTGAAACACAGGGGAAGTGAAGAAGGGGAGGGGGGGAGCTGATTGCCAGATCACTCCCATCCAAGCTCTGCAAAATGGGACAGTGGATCCCCAGAGCCTCCAGCTCATCTGACAGACAGGGCAGCAATAGTGCCCACCTCAGCCTACTTCTGGGGCTGTTGGGAGGGGGTACAGTGAGGTAACAGGGTCTCAGGGCTGGCCCTCCAACGCTCACTACTTGCCAGATATTTCCAAATGCTGCTCCTACCCTGAGACCCACCTCTCTGCAAATGAAGGCTCATGCCTCAGGCCTCATGTCTGAAGATCCCCAATTTTCCAGCAGCCCCTAGTAACCCGCTTTGTGAGCCTATGATGCTTCTTTTTGTAGGGCCAGAGGAGTCATGTTGACCAGACAAGGGATTTCCTCCCAGGAGACTGCCATCTGCTACCACCATCCCTTGCCTGCCTACTATCTACTATGAGAGCTAGAAGTTTTACAGACGGTTTCACTGGTGGAAGAGCCTAACCCAGGGACATTTCTCTACCTTACAAGGCCAGTTGTCACTGTGTCACTCAGCATGTCTCCAGTCTCTGTCTCTGGGTGGCTCAGGTCACATCTCTGACACACACCAGTGCATCATTGTTGGCAGCTGCCAGGCCTAGCTCCCCAGATGTCAAGTCAGAGCAGTGTCTCCTGAGTCACTCTGAAGTCATCCCTATCTGAGTCATGTCCTAGATCATTGCCTTTCCTAGGGCTGGTGTCCTCAAGGCCCCTCTAGGAAGTGGTTGTGACTGGCTGAACCATGTTTACCTACCACCTTCTCTGTCCCCTACATGGCATGCCCACAAGGTATGTCTACCCAGGTGGAGGCAACTCACAGCCCTCACTGACCACCAAGGTCAGTTTATGTCCTTGAACTACAAAAGGAGGCTGGGATGTCAGCTAAACTGAAGGCTTATGGTAATGGGAGCCCAAGACATGTCCTGTGTATAGGAGGAGAGAGCCTAGTACACTCAAAGAGATTGCCTCCTTTCAAAAGAATGAGTCTCACTTCCTTGGGCCTTTCCCATTGCCATATCCCATGCATGCCCTGCCTTCTACTCAGCTCACAATATAGCCAGGACAGGACTCCTTGTCAATGAGGACTTCACCTTCTACTGCTTGATCCTAAATAGCCAACAACTAAGCTAAGGTAGACAGGTAGGCTCAGAAGGACTTGCTTCTATCACTGTACATAGCTGCCAGCATCTGGCTGCCATGCCAGTGGTTTCTAAATGAAGAAAGAGATCTGGGTTCAAATCTATATTACTAGCTTGTGAGACTGTTGAGGGGACCTGGACATCTGGACATCTTGTGGAAATGGGGAAAAAAAACACAACATAGAAGAGGGCTGGGCAGAGCTGAAGGGACATCTGAAAAAAATGGAAGGCACAGTAGATGTCAAGCCCAGATTCCCATTCCAGAGGAACACATTCCAAGACTCCAGTAGAGGAACCACACCAAGGGTGACACGGGACACCATTTACACCAATTTTCCTTGCAAATACATACACAGGATAAGATTTATTCTATAACCAAAGGGCAGTAAAACATTAGAGGCAATTTGTCATGAAATTCAGAAACTTAGCACATGAGTTTTTTCCTTCCATACTAAATTGAAAGCTTAAAGGAATCACTCCACGGGTCCTCTGTAGGATACCCACTTTCAGCAGTGTTACCATCAGCTTTAAGACCAACATTAAGTAAAAGAAAGGATTTTATAAACCTAACTGCTAAGGTGTCTCCACTGTTATCAGATGATGAGCAGGAGGGGATGGTATACAATGGGAGCACACTGGGCAAAGGAATGACAGCAAGATTCTATCCTTCCTTGCAAATAGCCTGAAATTTAAAACCAGGAAATTGCTTACTTCTGGAATTTTCTATATGGAATTTTTGGGGAGAAGTTGTCATTGGGTAATTGAAACCATAGAAGTTAACACTCAGGAAATGAACTGCAGAAAGTCATGACTGGGGTGGGGAGATTGAAAATTATGGATGGAGGACTACAGGAGACCATGGAGAAAAGACTACTGCAGACCATGTCCAAGGCAGCTGCTTAAGTCAATCTTCAGTTGTTCTCCTGATTGTGTACCCTGCTACTATGTGTGTGACATAAACATAGAACCATCATTTTTCCTCCAGGGATTTGTGGATGTGAGAGATGTGGTGTTGTAGGTGTGAGAAGTGGATTCCTCAAGCACTAGTGAAAAACAAGGATTTACACAGAGATCTTTTCAGGGTGGGGCTTGTGTGTGTGTGTGTCTTAGAGAGGACAATTCTTCAGGCAGTGACAGAATGGAAGCTCTTCCCTAATGTCAAGTTGTAAACCACAAGCCCCAAAGCAGACCACACACACACACACACACACACACACACACACACACACACACACACACGACGGTGGCATTCTGACCCCACCCCCCATGATGTCTGATTCTAGGCAGCCCAAGGTTCTAAGTAGCCAGTAGCAATGAACAGTACCAAGCATAGAGGGACCACTGCCAAGACTGCTGACAAGGGCTGATAAAAAGGGCTATATCCAAAATGGCAACTACTCCAGTTTTGCACCCCCATGTTCCTAAGCTAAAATAGGCCCCACAGATAGCAAACCCCAGGTTAGCCTCTTAGCTCTTTCTGCTCCAGGTGACCAGAGTGGATGAGGCACCAAAGGCAACGCATGACTATCACCTTGGAAATGAACTTCCAGAGTGACAGAATGGGAGCATGGCCATGCACACCTTTAATCCTGGCACTTGTGAGGCAGAGGTGAGTGGACTTCTATGAGTTTGAGGCCACCCTGGGTCTACATAGTGAGACTCAAAATGGGGTCTCTGCCAACTCTACCACCTGGTTCTGTGGAGACAGATATAGACTGTCCCTTATGTCCTGGAAGGAGACAGTGAAGGAGAGAAGAGGGCAGTCCCTTTTGGAGCTCCTTTGTGACATGATGATGTTAAAGTCTTTTCACCTGTCAGGGGAGATGGCATGCACAGTCCCATCATTTCAGCACTAGAGACGCTAGGGAGATGAGATCACAAGTTCAAGGGAGCACTGGGCTACACAGTGAGAACCCCAAACACCAAGGGGCATGCAGCTCAGTGCCAATGAGTCAGGAGAGTGGGCCCTGGGAGACTTCGTACAAAGCCTACAAAATTATCAAACCCCCCAAAAAAATAACAAACTTACTGGCACATACAAAGACTGGAACACCCCCCTCCACATATGCATACACCTTGGATATGAAATATATAGAACACACAGAAGAAAGAACATATTGCACACATGGCCGGTGAAAGTCCCAGCCCTTTCTGCATGGGTACCTTTTGAGCCTCTAAACTTTCACCCCTGCTCCATCCCACTTCCTCCCTTGGAAGTGTGTTCTTTCTCAACACATTCTTTTCCTCCCCCTGCCACTATCGATATGATTCTGTACAGTTCCTTGTTGTAGAATACAAGTGCCTCCAAATCATGGCAGATGCCTTTGAATCCCAATATCTGTCAATATTAGTGCAGCACAGCACTTGCTGTGTGTGTGCAAGGCTCTTGGTTTGTTTATATGTGTATATATATATATATATATATATATATATATATATCCATACAGGCACCATGCCACTATCCTGATTTATCTGGCACTCAATCTAAGACCAGTCAGTCTTGAGTCATGGCAGCCCCCAAGAAGATCCAAATAGAAGCTCTGGCAACCCTACCTGGCTCTGCTCCTTGAAAATAAATTAAACTCATCCTGTGACGGGATCTGCATCTGGCTTCTTTTCATGAAGATTATTTTTTCCTCTTCCTACCAAAAGGGTTCAAAAGTTTAGCGCTGATTTGTATTCTGAGCGCCAGGCGGACCGCTGGAAACCCAGCTCTGTGGGGGAGGTTGATTGAACAGCCAGCCTGGGGCAGGCACTGCTCTCCAGAGCTGGAAGGGCTTACTGGGTGTCACTGTTGCTCTCCCCTCCCTGAATCTTAGCCTCTCTAACCCTCCTGTCCCTGCTGGGAGCTTCTGCTCTTTGTGATGATAACAGCTGATCCACGGGCAGCGCTGGAACGCTGGGGAAATCTCCAAGGAATTCCACTCGGGCTCTTTCAAGCACTTCATTTGCATACATTTGTATAAGTTATGCGGTGGTATACACTTCTCTTTAACATTGCACCCTAATGAAATCACTCAGATGGGCACATTAGAAATGGGATTTACTCTGGGAAGGCTGACCCTTTGCCTGTTAAATCATTTGAATGATCATTTGAATATATTTGCACCAGTGGCACAAGGAAAGGGCTCGGACTGGTGTTTTCAGAATTAATGAACCAACTTGGCTACCTCTGGAGGGAGGGCATGGAGGATTCAGTAAACAGTCTTAGGCATTTGGAATCTGAGGCTAGGACATCCCAGCAGCAGCACCAGCCTCAGCCCTAAGGCATTCCCAGGAGTCAGAGCCATCCTAGAGCTTCTCACATGCAAATTCTTTTTAGAAGCCCTCAGAGTACCTCTGTGGAGATAGGAGAGTTGAAAACAAGAGGGTGCAGCCCCCAAAGATATTGGTAGCCCTCTATGGAAGGGGGGCATCAAGAGGGGGCTCTGCTGGGACCTGTGAGGAGCAGCAGCTGCTGGCTGGATGGTAAGCTCTCTGGCCCCAGAGAGGCCCAAACTCCAGTGGTAATAGCAGGCCCAGCAGGGAGGTGACTGGAGGCTGGTTATGCCCCCAGGAAGCCAGCACAGCCAGCAGCTATCTTGGAGGATTTAGGTGCAGCTTCAGCTCTGATTCCACTCCAGTTGAGCTGTTCAGTCTCCAAGGCTCCAGGAGCAAATGGGGTTCAAACCAGCATTGGAGGGGGAGGGGCAGCCTGGCAGAGAAGGACCCAGGCAGGAGAGGCCATGGCAAAGGGCTTCTACCCTACTACTTTGTATTTCACAAAGCCTGTAATTTATTCTTTGTGAAAACCACCAAGTGGCAGACACAAGCTAATCCAGAAGTGTAAGACTTGCTCCAGGTCATTCTGCTTCTAGAGGACAACACAAAAGTTAACTGTTCCAGTCCCAAAGCCCAACTAGAGGAAACCTTCTCCTATTATGTCTTGCCTAGGCATGGCATGTTTCTCAGGGAGCATTGCCTAGCAAGTGAAGAGCCCAGACCTTCACCTAGCCCCCTGCTTTGGTATCCACGTCAAGCTGCAGAAAAGACCCAGCAAGATGTAGGCCCCTTACTTAGCGGCTTATGCTGAGCCCCTGACCTTGCCCTAATCACTAGAAAGCAACCACCAGATATCTTCCATGTGGCAAGGAACCAATCAGAAGTTAGCTGGTGGGCTTTGGATGTACTTTACTGATAATAGTGGAATGCCATAGGTAGCAAGGCCCAGGCCCTTGGATGGCCCCCAGGCATAACAACCTTTCAGCAGTTGCAACTGACCAATCATCTCAGGACAGATTCTCCCAGTCCACAGCTGCACCAATCCTGAGACTGTTACTATGCAACTAGCAGCCCCCAGACACCCGCCTTGCTCTACCCCCGATAAACACCCTGCCCCACTGCTGCTCAGGGTCCCTCCTACTCTACCAGCTGTGTTGGATGGATTGAGGACCCAAGTTAACTCCAGTTAACTCGTAAATTTAAAAGACTC